GAATTGTATTGATTATGTGTGCCGTGGTCAAAGCATGGTAATAGGGTGTGGTCATCCCACCATCATTTGGGATTCGTTGAAAAGGGTATATTAACCCCTATTCATGGGGGGTATGACCATCTCTCAATTTATGGGTATATAATCAAAATCTCCCAATATCGGTTAATCATTAATCTAATCCAACTTTGACCATGGCACAAAAATGTGTTTATCAAAAAAGAACGGAATAGCTACATATATATATTCTCACATGGATATACTTATGTACATATATATATATACTTATATCCATATACTGTCACCATAATGTTCCTTTTAAAATAGCCAGGAGAATCTGGATCCATCCCAAGAATATTTAAGGAGGCAATCCCATCCCCAGAATGTGGACTGGTCGACATAAGGACATATGTAGAATCATATAGGGACTATGGGGGGCAACTTTTTTTTTTGCATCTAATATTTTTCACGGAAAATGGGAGCACCTCGATTTTGCAGATCAACGCGGGCTGGGTACGGTAGCTGTTTGGGATGACAATTGACACCATTCGTTGATTATATGGATTATTTGGAAACCTAAGTATAGTCATTATATATATATATATATATACACATGACGTAAAGATATACATATAAACTCGTTTTACTCATGTTTGAAGTTACTGCCCAGTGAATTATTTCTTTTTTTGTGTTTCACTGATCTTGAATTTATAGCCCTATTTCGAATATAAGTATCAATATGCAGTGATGATCCGTCAATACGTGTATGTAAGGCCGGAGAGGCTGAAATAGAACTGGTCCCTTCATTTGATGAGGCACATCCAAATAGCTTCGGCTTAAAGAGAGTACCCAAAAAACAAAACAATGGTTTATATCAGTGTATATCATCTTTGTTTTTTACTAACATGGTCATATTTTGGGCAGCCCATCCCCCATATTGGTTCGTCATCCTCAAACTGAAGAGCTCGCCTTCGAAACTCCGGAAGGGTCCTGGCTATACCCCTATGACTGGGATGATGTATGACCCCCCCGACGATTGGCTAGTCTGGCTGGCAAATTGTTGGGTTTGCCACATGATTTGCCCCAAAATGTCTTGGGGGTTCTGGTCCGGACCTGGTCATTTCATGTTGGGTCCATAAACCAATCCATTGATCAATGGTCTCAGATATAGAATTGAGAAAATCGTCTCCCATCAGAAACTCCCATGACGTGATTACCCACTGGAACGACACTCCAATGATGAGCTCATAACCCATGGCAACAGCATGTACAACACCTACTGCACCAAGGATTTCTGGTTGCAAGGTTTGTTTTTCGGGTTTTCAATGGGCGAACAAGCGGACATGAATTGAAGTTCAACCCGATAAGAAAGCGGGAATGTTCAAAGAAATTTCACTTCAAACGGATACAAACCAAAATTGATCAGTATATATCAGAATCAGTATGTTTAACATCGATACACTCAAAAAATCACAAAAAAATCAAAACCAGGTTTTTGCTATGAATCCATTGGGAAGTCACCTAACCGGGCCATTTACGGTTCCGTAATGTCATTGGGTAAAAATTTCTGTGGAAATGTCATTGGCTCAATTCGTAGCACAGCGGGGGCCAGCTCCCTCCAAATCCCAGCATTTTTGGCTTGGTGATTTAAGGTGTTTTTGTAGTATGCCAAAATGTGTGGTTTTCTCGATCTTTTTGTGGGTCTGGATCAAAAAACTGAACAAACAAATTGGAGTGGCCAAAGAAACCTTCCCGAGTGGGTATGCCACACAATCAACATGAGATCTTTAGTAAGCCCAATAAATTCCATTCGATCTTCAAGTTCTTTTTCTAACATATAAAATCCTCCAAATCAATTGAATTCATGTCAAAATATGTCAGTTTAACTGGGTTTTTTTCGGGAGGTCGTCCTCAACATCCTCCAGCACCAAATCACTTTGACCAGGCCTCGGCAATGGGGATCCTCCCATGTTTCGACTTGGAGACCAGCCAGAAATATAGGGTTAGATATTAATTAACTATAAATATGCCATGGCTAACTTTGGCTTTATGGTAGTTAACTACAACTATGGTTGTACTATGCTATACTATTTTTACTTGAAAATGAACCTAGGGTTATAATAACTATATATATATACATATATATATATGTAGGCTAACGTTTGAATTTATGGTGGTTAGATCTACAGTTCGACGGCCTAAAGCCCGGTATGACTCTGGTCCCCCACCAAACAGTACCGGGATGTACCGGGGCTCACAGTGGTGGAGATTTAGCATCATCACTCTGGGTAGGAAGATCAGTGGTGTTTGAAACCACCCGGTCCTTCAATAGTCCTTCAAAAAACAAAAAAAATAATGAAAGCGATTATTAAAGGAAGAAGGACATTGAAATATTTCAATAATAATAACCAATAATATTTCAGTAATATAATAACCAATAATAACCTTCCTTCAATGGCTCAGAAATGATTGAAGCCATTGAAGTTCAAAAGCCATCAACACAGCGATTTTCTCGGCGTTTTGTGTTATGATATGTTATGATGTTCCTGCTATTTCCAGGAACTCATCACCTCCACCCCCATGCTCAAGGGCTGATACTTAATACCACACTAGTTGTAAGCACAAAATATGGAATGATGATAAACTCAAATTAGATTGTAGCACTATACAAGCAAGAATATATTCACAAATGAGGTGTGAACAGCCTGTTGGCACCTTAACGACTGGGATATAGCTGGAAAATCCTCAACATCTTTGAGGATTGGCTGGGAATTGATGGGTCAATTGATGGGTCAATTGATGGGTGGAACAGTGATCTGTGAAACACAAAGCACTGATTCTCAGATCTGCCAATCCAGATCTGCGCTTTGAGGTGAGATTCCCAGAGATGACCGAGATCATCCCCATGTTTTGCAACAAACCAACTACCCTCTGGTTATGTCAAAATAGCTATTGAAAATGGCCATAGAAATAGTGGAATGTCCCATTAAAAATGGTGATTTTCCATAGTTATGTTAAATTACCAGAGGGTACCCCACAATAGCCATGTAGAAATAGCCATGTGGAGATTTCCTGGCCCCTTTGACAAGCGGCAGTTTTTGTTCTAGTGCATTTGCCTGACGAAATTCGGGGCGCGACAAGGATCCAATGGGCTGTGATGAGCCCCTATCACTTGAGAATCGATTCCAGTTAGGCTATGGTGGTCTTATACATCTGTAAGTGTGTGTGTGTGTGTAAAAATAAAAATAAAATGTGTATATGTCTATGTGTAGTGTGCATGTATGCATGTATGCATGTATGGATGTATGGATGTATGGATGTATGGATGTATGTATGTATGCCTGTATGTATGTATCTATGTATGTATGGTATGGTATGGTATGGTACGTATGGTATGTATGGTATGTATGGTATGTATGGTATGTATGGTATGTATGGTATGTATGTAATGTATGTAATGTATGTAATGTATGTAATGTATGTACTGTATGTAATGTATGTAATGTATGTAGTGTATGTAGTGTATGTAATGTGTGTAATGTGTGTAATGTGTGTAATGTGTGTAATGTATGTAATGTATGTAATGCATGTAATGCATGTAATGCATGTAATGCATGTAATGCATGTAATCCATGTAATGTATGTAATGTGTGCAATGTATGTAATGTATGTAATGTATGTAATGTATGTAATGTATGTAATGTATGTAATGTATGTAATGTATGTAATGTATGTAATGTATGTACTGTATGTAATGGATGTAACGCATGTAATGCATGTAATGCATGTAATGCTTGTCATGCATGCAATGCATGCAATGCATGTAATGCATATAATGCATGTAATGTTTGTCATGCATGTAATGCATGTAATGCATGTAATGCATCTAATGCATGTAATGCATGTACTGTATGTAATGTATGTAATGTATGTAATGTATGTAATGTATGTAATGTATGTAATGTAATATATATATGTATAAGTATGTATGTATGTATGTATGTATGTATGTAAGTATGTATGTATGTATGTATGTATGTATGTATGTATGTAGGTAGGTATGTATGTATGTATGTATGCACGCATGCATGCAATGCATGCATGGATGTATGTATATGTATGTATATATGTATAAATATATATGTATGTATCGTTGGGTATATTGTGTGTACAGGAAAATGTGCCACATGGTTGTTCATATATACAAATGGACACAACTCGACATTTCCATCGCCCGTGAGACGAACTATCTTTCAGTGTCTGAAAAAATGCTGGACTCACCGCAAAAAAATGGCGAAATGTCAATGGCTTCAAAAGATGAGAAACCAATTTTTTCATTGGAATCATTGAAGGTCCCTGCGAAGTCAAAAAAGCCATCATCCTCTAGTTCTGCATAAAAAGTATCTCTGGATCCAGTGCTGTGCAATGGTCAAGTTGCATGCGATAAATGGTTTAGAACCTTCTATAAAAAGTTTAGATCCTATTTTGACGAATTGTTTGATTATTTCTACAGTACCCTTCACGAAATATGGTCATCCATCTCCCTATAGATGCATGCCTCTCGGACTGGGCACATCTAAGTCTTAACCGTGGCACATATCGAAGGAGCGACCCGGAAAAAATCCCATCAAATTTGTAGCCCAAGGGTCATAAGGGGCAGCCCAGTCATTGATGATTTATTTCCCATTTAACTTGGTGATATGGGTGGAGATACATGGCTCCCAATTTGCCACTGAAATCTCCAAGGTTAATGGTAAAATCACCATAAAATCATGCCTGAATCCTACATGAGAGCACATATAATCACCATATAATCCCAAAAATGACCCTATTTCTTCCAGCCAAAATAACACCATTTTTTGAGACAAATCCCCCATGTGTTCCAGCAAGTTGCATCTTCACCCCATCTGTGACCCACGTTTCTTCGCACCTCTCTCTTGATTTCCTCCGCGCTAGATTTCGTCGGCGACACATTCGGCGAATTCGGCTGCACCTGGCATTGATTCAATGGAGATTTGAGCACCTAATATGGGGATATCATAGTATAGTAAATACATGCATGCATGCATACATACGTACATACACAACCTTACAATACATACATACATGACATTCCATTACATTACAATACGTTACATTACATGATATGACATGACATAAAATACCATACCATATATACATACATAGATTACATAAGTTACATACATTACATACATTACATACATTATATACATACATTATATACATACATTACATACATTACATACCTTACATACGTAACATACGTAGTAACATACGTAACATACGTAACATAAGTAACATACATAACATACGTAACGTAACATACATAACATACATAATTGCACACATTACATACATTACATACATTACATACATTACATACATTACATACATACATTACATACATTACATACATTACATACATTACATACACTACATACATTACATACATTACATACATTACATACACTACATACATTACATACATTGCATACATTACATACATACATTACATACATTACATACCTTACATACGTAACATACGTAACATACATAATAACATACGGAACATGATAACATACTTAACATACGTAACATACCATACATAACATACATTACATACATAACATACATAACATACACTGCATACATTGCATACATTACATACATTACATACATTACATACATTACACACATTTCATACATGACATACATTACATACATTACATACATTACATACATGACATACATACATATATTACATTATCATTAATATTAACATGTAGATTTACATTACATCACGTACATTACATACATTACATTACATTACCTTGCATTGCATTACATTACATTTACATACATGACATAATATAGCATAACATAGCATAGCATAACATGAAATAATTTAACATAATATAACATCACATCACATCGCATCACTTCACTTCACATCACATACATACATTACATACATAAAATACCATAGCATACCATTCCATACATACATAACATAACATAACATAACGTAACGTTACGTTACATTACATTACATTACATACATTACATTACGTTACATTACATTACATACCATACAATACCATGCTATACCACACCACACCATACCATACCATACATACAGACAAACATACATGCATACATATATATATATATACACATACATACATACATAACATTACATTACATTACATTATATTACATTATATTACATTATATTACATTACATACATACATACATTACATATTATATTATATATATATATATCTATCTATATATATATGTATATATACATATGTATGTGTGTGTGATGTTCATGATTTCGTAGAGATTTACCAACAATTTTGGGGATACAATGGAATTGGAATATGATTGGGATATACAACCGATTAAATGTAACTTTAATGATGTTTGTTAATGTTCATGATATGATGATTTTCATGATTTATCATGATTTGAAGTATCTAGCTCTATCTTAATGATTTCTTGGGGATCTGGTGGTTGCGCCAAGAAAAATATTGGGAGATACTGGGGTATTGGTGAAATCTCGCCACGGTATGTTCCCCAGCACCAGCACTTGGCCCCAGAGGTATTTCACCAGCAAAAGGCTTGATTCACTTCGTGTGACGAGAGACAGGAACTGTGGTCAGTTCAAGTTTTGTATGCAGAAAATTGGAGGTCGTCTCAAACTTGTGATGATTACTGTAGGGTTTATGGTTGATAAATGTATAGTTAGTGGGATTTATATACCAACATCAGCCTGAGGAAATCAAAACAACTCCCGAAATTGCTGGGCTACCAAGCTACATTTTTTTTGTTGTACTCCCTGAAATTGGCAAATAAAAACACTACAACTGAGAATGTGCCAGCTGCATAGTTGCGCTGTTTGGTGATGATTCCCCATGCCTCAACCAGTACTGTCGAGGCACATACAAGCGATGGAACCTTTCTTAGACCCTGGAAGCACAAATTTCTTGATTATTGCTTTATCATGCTTTATCAATCATTTTCATACGGCATTTTTTTAAACGATACATCACCCAATGACGGGAAGATACGTATCATAATAAACATGTTCATACGGCCATTACGGCATTACGGCCATCACCAGGATCTTCATCCAACCCGAAGCTGGATGATGCTGGATGGCATTTCATAGCTAACAAACGACCCATCGTAAACCAGATCTTGACCCGAAAGTAAACCGAGCCTGCAGATCCTTCATTGAAATGCCATCGTCGTCATCATCATCAACATCCTCTTCCTTGGTTCCCAGTCGTCGCGGATGATATGACATCCCCGAGAGATATCCCGTAATTTTTTCCCAATATCTCCCTTTTTCTTCGTTGCTAAAATCTCTATGAAATCCCGAATAAAAATGTTTAAAAAGAAAACGAATTTTGATCTCCAAGTCTGCCGGAAGGTCATCCAGCTTGGCTTCTGCTGACTGGGATGATGTTCGTAATGACTGCCATAGACTGGGCGCTTTATAGACTCAACAAAATAAACATGGAATCCCATTCAAATCACCATCAAAGTCAAAAATCACCAGAACATAGAATCCCACTAAGTCCCATTAAAATCCCATTAAACCCAATCAAATCCTATTCAATGCCATGATTTCCGAAGCTTCATCTGGATCTCCAAACCAGTAGGCCATAAACGACTGCCGACAGGTCGGGGAGATGAGAAGCAACAGGAACAGCGACCTGAAAATGGTCAGTTTTGCTGAAAATGGTCAGTTTGTGTGACATTTTCATGGGGAAAATTGATGATGAAGCATGTTTGGTTGGGGAAAAAAGATGATGAACCATAGGATTTGTGGGAAATAGCGAATTTTGGGACTATGAATCATGGGATTTTGGGGGTTGAATGGGGAAAAAACGATAGTTTTACTGGAAAAAATAGATGAACCATGGGGCTCTTGGTTCCAAGGATTTATGGAAAGGCCATTTAAGGGGGGTACACCCCACTTGGAACAGTCACCCCCATCTCCTGAACATCACTGTTCATGGATCAGACCCCTACTATTTCTGAGGGTTGAATCACTATTATACATACATATATATATATATACATACATATACATACATATACATACATATACATATACATACATATACATACATATACATACATATACATACATATACATACATATACATACATACATAGTATATGGTGATATCCCATGTTTTTCAGCAGCAATATGCAGTTCAAGAAGAACTACGCGTCTGCAGCAGCTTTCCATCAGCCAGGTGGGGAAACACCAGGAGAGTAGGCTGCAGAATAAGCTGCAGAATGTGGCACCTATAACACCGGACCCAATGGAATTCTGTAGGCCAAACCACCGAGAAGAAAGGAGATACCGTGACGCACTGCAGGATTAGTGACCACTTGTCTCTCGCTTTGGAGACCAATCTTAAAAAAACGAGAAAATTTAGCTGTTGGTTGGAGGAGTTGGTGGATACTGTCCTGGCCCCACTTCAGAGTGAAATCATTTCGTTCCAGCCAGGAGAAAACGAGGTTGTAGACGATGTGCAGGACTTCCCCATAGTCTTGAGCTTGGAGAGGAATGTTCACATAGAGAGCTTGAGGATGGCTTTAGCCGAAGGAAATTCTCCAAGGAGATGGCTGATCTTGTACCATCAGTCATCACACAGTGAAGAAAAAGATCAATGTTTCGGTGCAGCAGTAAATAGGACTATGAAAGGTAGAAGATGATGACTTCCCCCATAGTCTGAAAGGTAAAAGAAATTCTCTGGAAACACAACAGGAGCGATTTTTGGTGTATCCTCAGTGAGCAGCAAGAACTTGAAGGTTGATCTAAGGGAATCCTTTCAGTAATGACCAAGGCAGACATGGCGCCGAAAATTTTGGAGCTGTCCTTATAGGATGGTTCCGAAAATAAAACTGGGGCAGAATTCCAGCAAGCTGAAAAAATCCATGGCTCAGGTCCAAGCTCAGCCTAGTTCGATGGATTTTCAGAATCTTAGGATTCTTTCTGAATGATACAGTTTGCAGATAACATATTATATATATAGATATATATATATATTATATATACATATACATTATATTATATATACATATATACTGATTGGCATCGGCACAAGAATACAAGTCATTTTTATTATTCAGTATCTTTATGGTATCTTTCAATATCATTTTCATGCTTGGCACTGGCACAATAACATATAATGTCCTAACCGTTCCAGATACCATTCCATTGTTACCAATCATGATTATTCCAATACCTTGTGTTACACGGCTTATTATTATTCCAACACCGTGCTTCAATATGGGGTTTCCAAAAATAGGGGTACCGACAAGTATTGAAACCTATGGTGACTTGGGGATCCCTCATGACTCAAGAAACCCATATCATATAGATTCATGAATACCTTGGCAGACTTTTCTAATGCTACCTTCTTAGGATTCCATGTCTAGAAATGGTGGTTTCCTAAAATAGGAGTATCCCTATTCAACTTGTTTTTTGGATTGTCCATCATAAACCAACCATTTTAAGCCAAACCCCCATGGCTTTTTTGGGAACCATGGCTGTTTTACCCCATGGCTACCAGTGTGGCCATAGATCAGCCCATCAGCCCATCTTATTTGGAACAGCTGGCCCAATGATCAAACTTTGGGGATCCAGAGAAAACTGATGATATTTCTGCACATATAATTAATGTGATCTCAACAAAAAGACATCAACAGTTGCTTCCCAAATGTTCCATTTCTGAGTTCCATTTCATCCTTTTCTGAAGTTGTCCAGTCCACGCCAGGTGACCCTTGACAACTACAATGGAAGATGCTGAGTCCTTGCCATCGATAGGCATCATAAATGATCCCCCCCGCGGTGCACGCAAGGGCCATGGAGACCGTAAAGACTCCCAAGCTCGTTGAGGTGGCCTTCGCCGACATCTTGGAGAATCTTCTGGAGAGCCATGAATCCCATAGTTACTATTGTTTTTTTCTTTGATCCCAATGTTGGATTTTCCAGAACAATAGGAGTATGAAAAAATGTTGAACTGGATTTATTGAGAGGATGTTGCAATAAACCTAGATAATTCTCAAATGTTGATCTCCAATCCTATCCGATTACCAGTAAGTTCCCCCAGAAGGGCTCCAAAATGAATGGTCTGATGCGATTCAAAAGTAAACTAGGACCAGGATTTCATTTGGACAGTATTTTTAGTCTTAGCCGGATCGAATGATATCGCAAGCGGATGTTTTTTCTATTTCCAGCAGTTCCACGGCAAAATCAAATTCCAAACCTGGCTTTGGACAGAGGAATGTGTAGGCCTAGACCTGACAACGATGCACCTGTCGGGCCATATCGGTGACTTCCGGATCATCCTTGAAAGTATCCTTAGGGCCAAGTGATGGAAAACGCGGAAAGAATCACCAGGCTATCCCCAGAAAGACATTGAGTTATTATGTAGATAAATCCCGATCGAAAATGGTGCTACTTTACTATCTCTTTTTGAGGGGTCACTTTTCCTTTCTATTCGGCTGAACTAAGCAACGAGTTCACGCAAAAGAATGGCCTGGAGGAATGAGGGGTTGGATTTCAAGCACAAAAAGATAGGACTCAAAGACCAAATATCATAGTTTTCATCAAATTCATCTTTGAATCCTGTTTTTCTTCAAGATCATGGGGGTGTTGGATTTCAGCATCGGAGCTTCATCTCCAACTGCGCGATGTCAGGAGTTGTGTAAGCCATCCTTTTTGAAGGATGTGGCCTCCCGAATCACTCATATCAATCCGTAGAAATCATGGTTTAGCACTGAAGTTCTTCCTTTTTTGGGGGGCTATTGGTGTAACTCTTTGGAAACGGATGATTTTTTCCACATGAGGTGTCAGATACAATCAACAAGTGTAAAGTTCAGCAACAGAAGAAAGTGGGGACAGAAATTTTGAAGACCCATCGATTCTTCACTCCTAAAGCCAACAGTAGATGGAAAAAGGTAACAAAAAAAAATGTGTAGATATTCGAGTTGACCTCACAATTTCAGAGACTTTCCGGGTGTCCAAACATGTTTCATCCCTTTTTTTGGGGGCGAAAAAAAGGGGATCCACCGGCTCGCTGATCCCAGCATCATAAGCGATCCCCTCGATGGCCATGGAAGAATCAAACGCGCATAGGCACACCTGATGCCCGTTGACGACCAGGCTTAGAACGGTGTTCGGCGGCGACCGAAAAAAATTGGCCCACAACAATCATCCGGGAATGCTGTCACAAAAATTTCAAACATGTCAGATGTGGGCCAGTGATCATCATTCGGAACATACAGTAAGAGTTTAGGAAGTGAGATGATCAAGTTGTATCAAGCCAGGTGCTTTTTTCGGGGATAACCCTGGTTTTTTCGACAGACCCGGGACCCATCCGTGCAGCTCTGGTTGAGTTGGTGTTTTTCGGTAAGGGCCTGAAGGGGAACACCTATTTTTGTACCGTCAAATATCTCCTGTGAATTTAAGTGTTTCAATTGATTCTCAGAATTTGGTACATCTACTGAAATCAACATCAACAACCCTAAACCCTGCAATTTCACTGCAAACCGAACAAAAAAGGCGGCAGCAAATCCCGCTAGCAAATTGGCGACAGCTGTCATCTATTTCTGCGAACCATTTTACGCCCCAGATTGGGGATACGCCGTCTGAGGCTAGTGGCTAGAGTCCAATGTGCTAAACCTGCCATAAACCGATGAATACCATGGGGGGTCTTGTTTAAAACATCATCCCAGTCATAGAAATCATAGATGGCATTGGGAATCCTCCTTTCAGATCATGGCGCCGTGAAAGTGACATAGCCGCCTTTTTCTCATCCAATGAATGTCATCACTTTCACTCATTGCCGATTTTTAGATGGAAAAAAACGTACTGCGGATGGTTGCGAAATATGAAAAAATCCTGCACCACCAAAAGGATGCTTGAAACCCTATAAATAATGGGATGTTTACCACCGTCCTCAACTGGTGATTTGGATTTCGCAGGCCCATCCACAGTATGCCATCGGATTTCACCAATACCATCCGATGTCATCGATCAATCACCAATACCCATCTAGAAATGAAAGATTACGGTATGTACCCTCTGGTAAACGTTTACATAACTATGAAAAATCACCATGCTATCAATGGGTAAATCCACTATTTCGACTGGGCCATTTTCAATAGCTATGTTGAATTACCAGAGGGTGTCCCGTGAACTCATCATCTCCGATCAGAGGTAGCCGAATAACATTGAAAAACCTCCTATTTCTTGACCAGTCAACCATCACCTGGCTGCTACTGGCTGTTTCATGGCTGAATCCAATAGGTAGTGCTTGAATAACCTGATCAACAGGGCTATTTTTGATGGCGCATCTGAATTTTCATATATGGTGTTAATCATCAAAGAGTTCTTGCCAGCTCTACTCGGAGCATCATCCCAAGAATCGTAGTTGTTTTTAGCCGCCACATACAAATAGATATGCATATTATAAATATATATATATTATATATATTATATATTATATATATATTATATATATATATACATATGGGTCAAAAGCTATTATTGCCACATTTGGGGGGACTAAACATCCATTAGCGAACCTAATATTTTAGGGTACGGCCTTGACTCACCAGCAATGGTTGGGACAAATCCAAGGGGCGATCTCTGTAAAAATGGCCCACTCCTGTGCCGGTGATGGTGCCATGTGGGGTGAAAAAATGGTGAGAAACGACGAACATACCATGGATATAGCCAGCAAAAAGATCCAAAAATATGTGCAGGTGGTGAATCTTCGTATGTGCTGCACATTTCCAGGTTTCTTACGTTTCGGCATTTTTTGAGAGCTGCAAAAAAAAAGTTATATAAATACAAGAAAGGGGGATGGGATTTATAATATGTTGCTGAGAAATTGTATGTGATAGTCTTATGGGATATATGTATTGGGGATTCAATCAGATTTGATGTTTTATCAGAAACCAACAACGTGAATCCGGGATATGTTATGATCAGTACCGTCTGGTAAACTAACATAGCTATTGAAAATTGCCATTTATACTGGATTTACCCATTGAAAATGGTGATTTTCCATAGCTATGTTAGTTTACCAGAGGGTACCCGCCCAAATATTTTCAACACACCTCTTTTATGGCTCCCAATGTGTTGTTTCATCCCCCACTTTGGCTGTTTCTTTGTAGGTGAGACGGGACTGTTAGCCAATCTGCTTGGAATAGAAATACATGGAACCCCCCAATTTTTGAATAGAAACCTTGGTTTTAGCCAATGAAAATGCGGGGATAACATCATCAAACTAACATCCTGGAAAAACTGGTCTATCTTTTTGTGTACCCCTATGGCCTATATATATATATAGATGATGGTCCAGTCAGTGCTGTGAAGTGGGGCAGAAGTTTGTTATGGAACTGATGGCCGATTCAATTCGACGTTTTACCCGTTACTATTTGAATGGTGATTTTACAGTTCGCAAACTTTAACAAATCACCAAAGGGTATCTGCGTCAAATATATAAAGGCATTGAAATTGGATGTTCTTCAAGATCTTTTTAGTAATGGATAATGGTTCATCATGCTTAGACAAATTACCCATGTTTTTTTAAATAATTTACATTCCTGTTTCACAGGATAATGGTTAATAAGCATATAAATTCCAAATATATGCATTGGACATTTATTACAATGGATAATGGTTAATGTAACATTGGATAATGAACAATATGTACTAGATAGTGGATAATGGCTATATATGCCAAACTCATAAATTGTGTTTGGTGAATGGTGATGAAGATTCGCTCGACCCTTGTCCCAGCTTTGAAGGATTACCATTGAAATAATCGGTGAATTATCAAACTAAATGGGGCATGGCTTCCAGTTCGCAAACTGTTAGACTACTGGAGTGTATCCAATATCCAATATCCAAAGCTTGACTTGGAATCAGATCTAGCCGATTGTTCAGAAAAAGCAACAAAACAGCATTTAGCTATATTAGGATATTCCACTGTCTCTTGGGCACTGCCCTGAGAAGGGGTCGAAACCTCAAGGCTTTCAGCCACTCTCCAAATGATCAATGATTCAGTCGTGAAAGTTCCCGGTTTTCGAACTGCGATATTAAAAAATCACAATTTATTGCTGCAAATGATACACTTTGGAAATCCATGGAAATTCAACAGTTTGCTTTCGAAAACGGCCCATTGATTTCAATGTCTTACCTTGTAAACCTGGTGATTTTCCAGCTCGCCAACTGTTCAATTGTCAGATCCAAGTACTCGGACCTCTTGCCATGGAAAATGGGTCCCCAAAGCAAGCCCCATCATCATCCCTACAGGCCCTACTGACCAACTATCCAAGTCCCGGTTTTTCCACCATTTTTGCAGCTCAAATCTGGGAAGCATGTGGAACCCCATAGCATCCTATCGCATCCTATCGGTTCAAAGCCTCATCAAACCCCAATTTTTTTTGAACAGCTCTACCTGCCTCAGCTGTGAAGAGCACTGCGAGGATTGCCCCTATCAAATGGAACCTTGGTGAAGCAGAATGGAATCTGGATTCGCTGGCCGTTTTTTCCTCCCAATAAAGGTGACCATTTTCATAGGGAAAATGGGGCACCAAAAAAAATTGGCAACGGATGGCCATTTTTGGTGCAAATCACCAACGGTGAATTCTATGATTTTTAAGGGGAATCTATCTATAATCAACGGTGTTTACAAAGCCACCTTGGGAAAATGACGATTGACCGGTCAATTTGAGGGTATTCGAGTCCCAGTCCTTAGGTCCTAGGATTTTTCCCATATCTACCAGTATCAGGAAATCTGAAGCCGCTCAAATCTGTCATGGTCGAAGGAAATTGGATTACAGTAAGGCGGAAATGGTCATCCCAGTATCATGGCTGGGGAAGCCTGTGTTGAATATGATTGATGGAGATTTCCTTCATGGGGTTGGCAAGCAAAAATATGGTTTCACTATCCGCAACTCGGGGGATTCAAGCAGGATTTTGATCCGTGGATGGGATGAGCACGCGTCGATCCCATATTTTGGTAGGCAGAAACCCATTTTTGCAGGCAGAAACCATGGATTGTTTGCTTGCTTTTGATATAGACCCCAACTTCTCAAGTGTCTCAAAAGCCATGGATCCAAAAATGGAAACCAAAGTTTCGATTGAGGGTATCGAATACCATTGGGAAGAGGAAGGGATTAGCCCTTAACATCAACAAAGTAGTCTAACGCAATATGATAGTCAACAAGGATTTTACTTGGAGGATCACTCCACTTAGTAACTGGTTAGGACTTATACTTACCATCGCCCGGCTACGATCGCCAGCTCCAGATGTTTCCCCCCCCGATTCCCACTGATTCGCTTCGAGGAGCGTTGCCATTGGTAGAGCAGACCAAATGCCAAAGCGAACCTGAAAGTCGACGCGGTCGAGGATGATGAGGATGGAGGATCCCCATTCGAATTGGGAAAAAAAATGCACTCTGATGGTCGAATTCTCATTGCGAGGGTTACACCCTTTGTTGAGAAAGCCCCATTCGAATTTCACCAACCACAAGATATGGCCTAAGCCTGCAAAAACTAGGGATGGACAAGACTTGGGTAGATGGCCCAGTTTCGGGCGGACATCAATCCATCAATAGGAGTTGAACTCTACCCATCATTTCTGGATACATCTCTCATGATATCAAGGAACGATTCTACAAGAAAATGATGGGAATTTAGGGTTCCTCTGCATTTTCCTACTTGGAAGTGCAGTTCCAGTTATCAATGGACATAAAAATAGCCATAGTATGCCATAGTTATAGGGGCCGCTATTCCAACAAACATGGAGCTGTCCCAGATACCATGGCTGGCCATCATTTTTAAAAACCACCTCTGACCTGCACGCCCCGAGGCGATGCATCCCCATGATATCCACATCAGATATCTCCCATTTACCCTCTGGTAATGTCAAAATAGCTATTGAAAATGGCCATAGAAATAGTGGATTTTCCCATTAAACATGGTGATTTTCCATAGCTTTTTGTATGTTTACCAGAGGGTATATCTCATTTTTGTTGGATATTCTCTAACCTGGAAAAATCACCACAGGTAAGATCCCCTTGATTATGCTAGTGGGATTTATGGTATGTATACCTATCGATATATATATATATATAAGCATTCTGCACTCCTGAAACTTTTCACTGCCTTGCTTCGAGGTCCTGCTCCAGCTCCACAGTTTGTCGTGGAAAAAGCTGGGCTAAACTTCCCAGGCTGAGACGATGAACAAGGGCGGGTCTTCATGCGCATGGGTCGGGAGAGCTTGAGTGTGAAAAATCATCCATTGAAATGCTTGAAGTCAAGCATTCTGCACTCCTGAAACTTTTCACTGCCTTGCTTCGAGGTCCTGCTCCAGCTCCACAGTTTGTCGTGGAAAAAGCTGGGCTAAACTTCCATCTCGTCCCTTCCCTTCCAAGCTCCTCATTGTCATCAGCCTGAAAAAGACGGAACCACACTTGAGGTGGTATGGCTCCTTTGAGAAAGCATATTGTCTTTTCAAGGACCTTGGGAAAAACTCCAGCCAGATTTTGGATCTTGTTTCTTGCGGTCTCAGAAATCCTTTCGGTGTAAGTTGTGTATAGCACCTCCTGCAGGTAGAGCTCCATCACTTTTGTGGTGACCCACCTGCCCCTCCTCCTCACCAGTTCAGAATCCTCCGTGAGGAGGAGCAAATAGGTTGCCCCCCCCGGTCTCAAAGAACCTAAACTGAAAGGTCGCCTGTCGTTGATCTTTTGGGTGTCAAGACCAATGGCGGTGAGCAAGCAAGTCAACCTTTTTCGTAATGTCACTGCTGCAAAAGGCCACAACTTTCTTTCCAAAGAAAAACTTCCAAACACCGCTGCCAAGAGTTCAATCATGTCTGGAGGGTCGATACGTGCAGCCTGATGACGGGCCGCACGTCCTCTGGTTTTGGGATACTTTATCCTCAGTAGAGCAAAAAGGGTGCCTGGTGCCATGTCTGCTGGTAGGATGAGGTCTTTGCGTTCAGCCATCAAAACCTCCCCAATCCGGAGGATACCAGTCCAGGTAAGGCCCAGCAAAGCGGCCTCCAAAGCCCATCCCCACATCATCGCAGTAGTCATCAGTGCTAGGAGCACTGACAACGGCAAGGCCGGGTGATGCTGTGCCGGCTCATCAGCCAGCCAGGCAAACGCAAGGTCCCACGCCGAAACCAACTGCTTTCTGAGGATAGGCCGAGCAGCGCAAATGCTGTTTATGGTCTCCGCATACTTTCCATAAGCCTTTCCAGACAAGTACATCTCCTGCCCATACTTGACCAACCAGTTTGCAACTTCTTCAGGATCTGGGGGCTTTGCTGTCAACAAAGCCTGCAACATGACCCCATGCTCTGTGTACAGCCATGACCTAAAATCATCCAGCAAAACGCGTCTGAAATCCAACGTCTTCTGTCGCTCGACACGCGTAGGCACAGGGCAGATTCCACCTCGATGTTGTGCCCTTGCACGTTCAGCTGCAGTCAAAGGTTCCATGGCAAAGACCCCCCGAAATCCAAGACAAGCTACCAAAATCCAAAGATACCTAGGGGGCCTAGAGCTACGGGACACAGACCGACCAAGACCAATGCTAGGCTTTGAGACGGAGAGGGAAAATCCAAATCCAAAGGACAAACTGGTGGCAAGGGTCAGCAAAATGATGAGAAGGAGATACAAAAGAATCCCAGCAGGAATTGACTGAAACCAGGCAAGTGAGCTGCTGCAAGCCGAAAAGATATGCCCTGCATAATCATGTACTCCAAAAAGGCTCTCAGTTCCAAAAGCAAACGATGAACCGACAGTGGCCTTCGTGTCTACCTTTCCCTCTGGCGAAGCCGCAGGGCTAAAGTCCAAGTCAAACCCAGCAGCTTCAGCAAAATCCAAAATCCAAACCAGAAGGATAAGGCGGAGCCAATTTGCGAGGTGTCGGGGAAGTGCCAAGGCATGGAGAGAGCGCAGAAGGCTTATGGAGAGGTGCCTGGAAATGGAGTGCAGGACTGGGAGTCTGACAGGGAGCCTTCTGGTGGGGTCATCTGCGACATTCAATCTCGTTGGTGCAAAACCCCAACCAGGGAAGAGGCCAAATGCCACCTGCAGCGCCATCGCCCTTCTGCAAACAAACTGAAGTGCTGCTGAAGAGCTTCTTCCCTTTGCCAGTGCCCCTTTTGCAACCCTCGAGTCGAGCAGGCAGTTGAAGCGGGAATCCTGACATTGAAGGGAGGCCTGAGACAGGACTGCTAAGGCTCCATGGCCCTCCAGCACATTGATGTGGCTCTTCCGCCTCCAATCCCAGACCTTCTCCTCAGCCCAAGTGTTTGCAGCCAAAACGTCATTGATCACAACGCTCTCAAAACCAAGCTGAGGTCTTTCCTCTGACTCCTCACACGCAACCTTCCTCAATGCCTTGGAGAAAAACTTTGCAAAGTGTGCCGCAAGGTCCCAAACGTAAACTGCTGAGCCTTTCGTGAGAGAGCCTTCAATCCTCACGTGAGTATGCCCTCCTGGGCACTTGACTTCGAGCCCTTCAGCATCAAGTAGATACGTCAGCAGCTTGAACTCTTTCTTGTGTGGGGACCCAAACTGGCACGAAGCAATGATGCTCTCTCTGAAGCCCAACCTGCACAGCGCTCTCCAAGCCTTCAGCCAACCCATCTTGGACAAACGTGGTTGCTCTTTTCCGCAGGGTGTACGATGACGCCTACCATGCCGAAGAAGGACAAAAGATCGGTTTGCCAGCAGGTTTCCGAGAAAGGTCTTTGGGCAGCTCATGTCATAGCCCTCAGGTTGCTGATAGGACCTGACCGCAGGATGAGCTGCAGGGCTGAAAGTGGTGCATGGTGGCTCTGACAGGAAAGACCTGAACCTCTTCTGCTCGATCATGTGCATCGCCCATTCGAGAAGCCTTACATCAGTCATGTTGTAATGCCTTGAGCTGGACAAATCCAAGGGCGGTGCAACTGAATGCCCCAGCTCTGCCATGCATGCAGAAACCCTGCCAGAGCCCCCGTAGAACTCCACAAAGTCAAAGTAGAGCAAGGGAGATTTTTGAGGTCCTTGGGCAGGTTGTTCAACAAAGCTTGAGTGGAGCTCATGTGTTTCCTCTCCTGCAGCACTCAAAAGAGCGAGCTCCGGGCCATCTAGCCGACTGTAGCATCCGCGCTTGTCACTCCCCAACCATAGCACTTCTGAAAGCTCAGCATCAATCTCAGTGGATACAAAAGCACCCCTGCCCAACGAGGCATCTGAAGCAAAGACTTTCTCTTGGTACTTCGTTGCTACGTTGCTGGAGATGATGGGAGCAAAAACAGAGAGCAAACAAAGCTCCGTTGCTGCTTTCCTTCGAAGCGGGAGCAAGATGTTACTTCTGGCTGCTTCTGCTTCAGCGGCATCACGAAACAGCTCCTCAACCACTGCAGAGAAACATCTTCGGTACATCAAAACAGAGGTCCAACTTCCAGAAAGCCTAGCTAAAAGCTTTGCTGAGGCCAGGGGCAGGGCTGCTGCTCGAAGGGAGAGAGTGGAAAGAGCAATGCGCTTGGCAAGTGGCGCAGCAACCGTTGTGATGCCTCTCTTCACAGCCTCTAGGGAGGAATCAACCTCAGCCCCAGCTGCTTTGAACTTCGTGGCTGCCTCCACATCTTTCTCTGGTGAGCCTAAAACACCACACTTGTGATAAACCTGTCTGGCTTGCGCAAGAGCTCTGCCGGCAAAGGTGTTCAAAGGTTGGGCTCCAAACTGCTCCCTGCTGATGACAAAATAGTCATCAATGATGAGGCCTTCCCACCTACCAGCAAGTGGGAAGATGGCATGGCCCTTCAATCTGTAGGTCTCGTGCAAAAGTCCATGCCTCTGAAGCATCTCCTCATGAGACTGAAGCGCAAACTCAACCCCCAAGTGATCACCTTGAAAAAGTGATCTGAAGCAAGGGAAGAATTTTCCAGAGCCAGTGAGCTCAACGCAGGACTCCCCACCAAAACCATCGCCAACAACCTGCCTGTCTTTTCTGCTTCTCAAAGGCACATCAGCCTGCTGCTGCGTATGCGCAAGTGCACTTAAACCAGCAAGCTCATTGGTGTCAAACTTGAAAGGCAGCATGTTCGATCTGGCACGTTCTGCTGAAACCTCGGCCTGATGGTAGAAATCTCTGCGGTCAGTGACACTGCCAAAAAGTTGTTGCACATAGGGGCAAAGGCTGAGGTTTGTAAGCATAAACCCAGGTGGCAGGTGCCGTGAGGGTCCATCCACTGAGCGCTCCATCATGTTTGGAATCCTCCGATCACCTATTTGGCGGTCGACAAACTCAGACTTGTAAGCATTGAAAACGCGGGAAAACATGCCTTCAGCTAACGGCTCTTCATAAAGTGCCAATAATCCACGTGAATCCCATAGCTTTGCCAGTGACAAATTCTCCTCACGCGATTCATGCTTGAAGTTCGGCCCTTGGGAAAAATCAATGCTTTCACCATGCCAAAGAAAACGAGGCTCTTGAAACGGCAACCATAGTGGTCCTGAAATGAAACTCTCCATGGGCCACTGTCCCTCACCAACCAGCTTTAGTCTGCTGACCTGCAAGTTCTTGTAAGGGCAAAGCTCTGGATGCTCCTCTGTATCAATGAGCCCCGGATCCTCAACAAAATGAGTTGGTCTAGGCTGAGCGTAGCTTTGGCTCAGCTCTGGCTGCTGCTCCGCAAACTTCTCAAGCTGATGCAAACAGGCAGCAAGTTCTGGGCCGGAGCGTCCAGGAACCAAAGGGAAACTTTCCTGGGAAGCTCCACACACATCTATTAGCGACCTCAACCTCTGAAAAACGCGAAGCTGCAGAATGTTGGGGCGCCTCCAAATCTCACTCAAAGTGGGATGTCGGCCAAGGAACAAATGGTTCAGGGCATACACAATGATATGCAATAGCCTCTGACGTGCAACTGCGGCCAACCTCTTCTTTGAAAGACCGGGGCCACTGCTTCTGAAACACCCTGGGTGAGGCACAGGCAGTGGAAAAGATGTGGCAGGCGATGAAGCTGCTTCATGCCAGCAGACAGTGAAAGATTTCTTGAGGTGCCATCCAAACCGAGTTCGGCATCTCAGAAACAGCCTAGGCAGACAAATGGCCCAGCTATCAAAAGTGATTGTACCAACCAAAGGCTTGACTCCGGTCCCCTAGGCTGGTGCTCCATGTCAGGGTGAGAGCTTTTCTGAAACTCCCTGCAACGTCCTTTGTGGTCTGTGGCTACTCTGCCTCCTCCTGTGTGGTCTGTGGCTGCTGTGCTCCTTTTCCTCCACCTTTCCTTTTTGGCTGGGGCTTCGCCTTTGTCTTGGCCTTTGGCTGAGGATTCTCGGATGAAGTCTCTGAAGCATTCCTTGGTCCCCCTCCTACCAACTCCAGCCTTTTGGAAGATATGATCTCCATTTCTTTCAAGAAAGCCAGAGCACAAGTGACCCAGCGTTGATCCGCAAGAGGCGCGAAAGCCCGGGTCCGAGATGTTGTCGACATCTGCCTGCTGACAAAAATCGACGCCGGAGGGTCTTCCTGAAGGCACAATAGGGTCGCAAGGTCCATGCGTCCTCCGTCCAAGTTGCTCTGCTCGATCGTCACAGCCAATAAGGCCACAGTGTCCATAGCGGCTTCGACCTGACCCGCCATCAAATAATCGAAGGCAGTCATGACTTGGAACTGCAATTGCCCCAATTCTCTCTGCCGAGAGTAGCCACCGAAGCGCTCCAGGTACCTCACTCCAGAGATGCCACGATCCAGCAACTCCTGAGGGCTGAGATCTGCAGAAGAAGTCGGTGCCATCCGCCTGGACATGCTTTGCATCACACTGCGGAAGAAGATCCCCTTGTGTTGAGCCAGCTCGGCCTGCAGCTTTGCTCTGCCAGAAGCTCCACGTGCCCCTGCAGAAGTCGTAGTGGCCAACTCCGTCATTGGATCCCCATGGACTCCAGCAATCTGAGCTACAAGGCTTGTCAAAGCCTGAGATTGGACCAGGACGGCTTGCGCTAGTGCATCTCCTTGTGTCTGGTTGGATGAGGCTGGCAGGACCACCTTTTCTTCCTCCAAGGCAGCTAAGTCCGGAGGCTTCGCAATTCCGGGGGATGCCAACAACCCAAGGCTCGCCCTGGTATTTGTCTTTGGAGGTGGAGGCATCGCCTTCGCAACTGAGGCCAAGGAAGGTCGAGGGAGCTCCAGCGCAGACCCCAGAGGCTGGGCCAGAGCTACTGCTGTTGTCTTGCCCATGGTTGGCAGATGATCTTCTAACCTCTTTTGCCTTTCTGCAAGTAGTGTCAACTGCTGAGACATCTGAGGCAAAAGGCCCATGACTTCCTCCATCTGATTTGAAAGAGTGGCTGTAGTGGCCCTCTTTGGCTTTGGAACTCCTGCGGAACTGGTAGCCTTTTTGGCGGCTGGTGGCTTGGGGAGTGGAGGATTGTCTGTAGGGCCGGCCTCTTCGAACTCCTCGGGAGAGTAGAAACTTGCCATGCGCTCTGACGTTGAGAGGGCCCAAGCTCTGACCAACGGGACTAGGGCATCTATGGAAGGGAAAGAGAAAGGTGTATCTTCGTCGTATGCATAAACCACCTCCTCTCCCTCTCTGAACTCGCGCATGAAACTGACGATATCCTCTGAACAGTCTATGACTCTGACTTGCAAAACTTCCCCAGTTGGAGCCACCACACCAGAGTCTCCCAACATTGCAGGAACTTCGAACTCCATGGATGGCCCAAAAATGCAGTCGGGGGCTCCAGCATTTCCTTCCTCGATCAGTTCTGCAGGCAGAAAACCTGTTGGCATGGCAAGCAAAATGCCACCTGCTCTCCTCATAATCACCAAAACAGTGCATTCTGCAGCTTCGGAGGCCCCCTGATCGAGGACCCAAGACAGCACGTAGGGCTGAATCTGCTCCGAGGCCAACGTCAACAACTCCATTGCTAGAACTCCGTCTAGTTCGTCCATGACTACTGCCGTGTGTCAAAGTCCAGGACTCCTGCTCCTGCAAAGTACACCTGGGCCTCAATCTCTGAAGGGAACGCGTGGCTGATGGAAGAAGACTGTGCCAAGTCCTCGATGATTCTCCAGTAAGCCGCAGCTGACTTGCAGAGTGCGGAACCAGAGATGTCAGAGGCTCTGACCACTGCGTAGAACCTAGGTCTAAGGTCCAGCTGCTGAGATCGGTTTGGTGTCGAGATTCTGCCTTCTTGAACTGCCTTTGCCCACTGACCTGCCAGCCAAGCGCGTCTGATCCTATCCTCACCTGAGTGGCTGGAACCAGAGAGGCGAGAGGCCTGAGCCAGATGAACACGAGGACAGGGAGCAAAAGATGCAGCAATCTGGGAGCGAGTCTCAGAGGATTGGGCAGCTTCTGGAATTGAAGAGACCAGGTCGAAGGAAGACTCTGTTCTTGGGGAAGCCTGAGATTCCTCTTGCCTTGGAGCTGTGATCTTCTGAAGAAGTGCAGATGCCTGGGCCTGGGGCCCTTTGATAGTGACCTGGAGGTCCCCCAAGGAACAGCGGAGCTCAATGTGGTCTCCGTTTTGTGGGACCTGGCTCATGCGCGTACTCAGCGAGAACTGAGTACCTAGGGCAGACAGAAGGATGACCAGAGGACGAAGGATGAGGTGGTGGATGAAGCCAGTGCCAAATAGTCCACAGGGTGAGGCCAGCTAGTCCAAGGCCGCAGAGGATTCCAAGAAGAAAAACAAGGGCAATGGCAGAAACAGGAGGAGCAGCACAGTATGCTGGGCACCCCAAGCCAAACCAGTTATTTCGAGAACCCTCAAAGCCTAGCTGGACCACACGTAACAAACCCTCGATCATAGAGCTTGAGTGTGAAAAATCATCCATTGAAATGCTTGAAGTCATATATGATATAGATATAGATTTTCGATGGGATCATAAACCATCAGTTCCTATGGATTTTATCCTTTATCCTAGGAAATCTCCGGTAATAAACCATGGTTTGCTGGAGAAATCACCCATTTGTAGATGATGTTCCCAGCGAACTAAAGCTCCATTTATGGATGACCTTTCCCATCAATGGCCAATTTATAGATAGCTAAAACCCATATTAAATCCATATTGAACCCATTTAAACCCTCCATTTCTAGTGGATTTCCTAGTTTTTCCTATGATTTTCCTATTTTTTCCCATGATTTTCCAATGAAAAGCTCCATTTTCTCCGGAAAAAATCCCCATCTTTCAGTGTCGCCCACCTGGATGCGCTGGGTGATGAGCCTCATGGAGAAGCCCACCAGGAGCGCCAAGCCCAGACGCCATAGAGCCCAATCCATGTCTTTGAAGTAGAGCCCCACTGAAGACCTGGGGAAAATTTTCAAGAAAAAAACTGGGACAAACATCGGACAAACATCGGATTTGGCTGCGGTTGACCTATGATCTCATAGCATTTCATCGGAGTTTCATGGGGGTTTCCCCATGGCAAAAAGAGGCAAAAAGAGGCCTCCGACCAACTCGCCCCAACTCGCCAGGTTTCCCTATCAATCTGGCAGAGGTGATTTGGTAACAAATCATCCTCTGGTGGATCACCAAAATCACTGGGATTCAGAGACGGAACTTCTGCCGGAGATGGGATGGAACGCTATGGGCCATGGTTCCATGGTTCCCCAAAAAGTGGGCCAGGTTGATCAGTTTATTGAAGAGTCGTCACTGGTAAACATACAAGAAACTATTGAATAGCTGGCCATAGAAATAGTTGATTTTCCCAGTTACATAGCATGGTGGATCTTTCCATAGTTATGTGGCTGTTTACCAGAGGGTAGTCACTGACTTTTGATGCCCCAGTTTTATTGGGGTTTACCAAGAAAAACAACCACAATTTGGGTTCGCCTTGAAAAGTATGGAGCATCCCTTAGTAAATGAATAAAAATCAGAAGAAAATTCTCCAGGAGAGGTCGTTGATGGAATTATCCAGGAGACAAGGGAGCTGCCTCAAATTTTAGAACCCCTATGAACCTCTTCAATGACCAACGGTTATCATCATGCACCCCAGTAAACTGGCCAGTTTGGAACATCCCTTTCCTCCATCTCATATTGGGAATCCAAACATAATGGGTGTTTGGAAAACCCTGTTGATGGATTGATGATCATTCCACAATAATGAACAACCAACCTTTGTTTTGAGCATCGCATGCATGAAAAGTTTCCAAAGATATGTTTTCCTTGATTGCCGAGTTTGCAGGCCCTTGCACTATTTCACCACAAGTTTCGGTGTCAACACGATCATGAGCCAAGTCGCGCAGCAAAGCCATTGATACATCCATTGAAGAAGGGCAGTAAAAGACATGTAATCACATAGCCCAGGGAACATGGTAGTCTTTCTATGTCACCATCATCTTCCCATTCAATTTCATCCATCTCGTCAAACCAGTGTCGTTTCTCTGGTTCCGCAGCTGGCGCAGCCATGGCCTTTTCGGTCCCGGATTCATCCGCAGCCATGGCGATTTTTCAAACCCCACGTAAGATCGGACGTGCGACGCACAAGCGATCACGGGCGAATTCCCATGGTGAAACTAGTGAAAACGTGAGAATTGAAGACCCTCTTGATCCAATCTCTGCGACACATATCGCGGGGTGAAAAAATTCAAACCTGCAATAAAACAGCCACCGACAAACTGCACACATGCACACATTCCTTCGTGGTAAGTGCAAATTTTAAGCATCTCAGATACACCACAACGTTTGAAAAATAGACACCTACACATAACCATATTAAAGATTGTTAAAGTAATTAAAGTACATTGATACACCTGGAACCATTCAGTGTCGTGATAGGAAGTAATGATTAATTGCGATGAGCATCGAACGTTTTTCAATTTGAACACAATGTGTCCAAATTTCTGGAAATTAAACCCTGAAACAGCGGTCCTTGTACCACCTTTGTGGTACCAATTATGGTTCTGAAATCGAGAGGACATGTTTTCCGTTTTCCGCAAGTTGTTTTTGGTTGCCTGTGTGGAGGGTCCGAATTAAAGAAATCTATGTTTCGGCCAACTTGCAAGTCAAACCAGGAAACCTTGATTGAACAAAATCATAAAATGCGCGCGTGTGTGTGTGTATGCGACTGTCATCATTTGAATGGCAGGAAGCAATGCCTACTTTTGTTCCGCAATGTATTTCAGTCAGGTTGCACCTATCAAAAATGTTTCGGCCATTGATTTTTTCGGGGGAGCAAACATTTTTTGGTTCACACAAATGTAAACAAACCCTGGAGCTAGGGGTTTGGAGAAAAAGGCAAAATTCCACATTAACATTGATGTGGAAAAAACGTTTACAATCTCAATGCGGATTCGTCCGGTTTTCTGTCGTTTTTTCATCCCATCAAAATTCATGTTACTTGACAATAAATATTTTGTATGATTTGTTTGTTGAAGGTGTTGTACAGACGATTTTTGTTTCAGTTGCAACAGTGGTTTTCGCAATGCTAGAGTGATGCCATTGTGATTCCGAACTTTCTGGGTTTTGCACTAGCATCCATCGACAACACATCTACAAGAGGGGCCCCAAACAATAGGTAAGTTGGTTTCTAACTAAGCCAACTCGGGTTTACAACTGATGCATCTATTAATAGTTAAAAAGGGGCCGTATTCCATCCAAAAAATCAGCAGCCTGTCTTTTAGTATCAGACTGGTGAGACTCACCCTCAAGACTTTTCGCGATAGCGCGCGAGACTCAAGGGCCCTATGATCCACAAAAACCCGGCGAACACACAGATCATTAAATGCACACAAGTTTTACAGCCTGGTTTCGCCTACAGAAAACATACACAGATTCACACACGTCCTTTTCTAAAAGTGTGAAACTGTGAGAAAATGATTTCAGTATGATTCCTGCGTCTTCGTCTCCCTTCAGGTCAATTCTACGCGGCAACGGTTCGTGCAAAGAACCTGGATTTGGTCAGGCAATCTGCCACCATAGTAGAGGTGTGAATGTGTTTCTTTTGATTGAGATACAAGCGCTTCACGATAAGAACTGATACTACACTGATCAAGTCTATGTGACATGGATTGCAAATGCCATTAAACTACCACTGCACAACTACCGCTAGTAAATGGCATGCACCCCGCCTTGATGCATGTGCAAACAAGGCATCAATCACTACGGAGATCTTTGCATCCGAGCAAATGTCAGAATTCTGAGTGGCCAAAAGGCCAAAAGGTAACGCCGCTGGGACGGCATTGCCGTGCCACTACTTGCAAGTGTCCTTTCAGGACTACCTTTGGCGTCATGAGTGCTCGGATTGGGGCTAGAGATACTTAATTTCCGTGCATAAACACCCTTGTTGATGTTCTTGGCTACAATTCTCACTCTAAGACTCTAACTCTGGTCTCACTCTTGTATGCTGATACCCAATGGCTGGGAATCACACGCATTCCTGGGTTCTTTTTCTTCAAAGCATCAACCTCTGCCTGGCCTATCACCTTTCCGGCTCCACCCTTCTCCAACTAGCAAACTCTTCTTTCATACCTTCAAAGCCTAGATCAGCATTAAGTTGCATCAATGAACTGTCATCAATCACCTCATCAGGCTTCCACACCAAAACATTGGAACCACCTAGCTTCACCTTCACGCAAGTATGGTCACGTTCCGGCATGAATTTGATCGAGTTCGACTCATCGTCAAACAACTCTGGGCTTGCAGCCACAGCAAGTTCTGGTCCGGCTTCAAGACTCCACAAAATTGGCCCGACTGATTGGCTAGCATCATCCATCAGAAGCAAATCAAGAGTCATGGGTTACCCAGTTACCCGGAAGCTCTTTCTCTCTCCATCTCTGCCTCTAATTCCTCAACAGGTTGCTCAGTTTCTCTCTTGTTTCGTCCGGTGCCTTCTACTTCCATCTCAACATGACCTTCCCCTGAACCGCCGGCCGGAGCCGGGTCCATGTCCGTATCAACCTCCATTTCCTCAAAATGCACTTGCAACCTTTCCCTGCTCACCTCAGCACGCTCTGCAACCTCGCCTGCAACACTTGGTGAATTCTCAGCACAAATGCTGCTCTTCTCCGCTTGCCATCGGCGCTGTGCCGAATTCCGGGAGCTACTATTCCAGAGTCACATGCTGGGCATCTGGGTGTTTTGGGAAAAACTCTCACCTCAGGAATTGATTCTGCTGGTGATGTTGCAGGTGATGTTGGGGCAACGGAAGGCGACTTGGACGCAACAGCGGGTGTCTTTGGCGCTGTTTTGGCTGTTGCCCGTGTTGGCAAAGGCTGTTGATGGGCAATTTTGATACCGGTTGACGCTTTGGCATAGGCGTGTCAATTGGTCACTTCTTTGGGAGAGGCCTACTGGTGGTGTCTGGCTCTTTCATTTCCCTAACCAGTTCACTAGGCGCTCCATCTGGGTATTCAACAATGTCATCACGTGCATCATCGACTTGAGGTTCAAGTGGGGGTCGTTCTCCTACTGAACGTGTATGGGTGCAATGGCCACAGGGGGCGCGTTCGCAGGCGCTTGCACATGCACACTTTGACCATCCACAGGCTGAACATCTGCTCACTGAACTTCTACAAACAACTGATCACCTATTATGTGTTTC